AGATCACAAATCGTATCTAATCAAAGACATTACCCTCAAAAATTGAAAAAAATTCCCTCGTTCCCCGTAAATGGGGGAAACTTCCAAAAAAATTACGAATTTAAAATCGCTAATTTTCGAAAATTTTTCAATTTTTTTTACTTAAAATTGCCATAATTTTTTAAAAATAACCAAATCAATATAATTATTTTTTTTATAGATGCAAGATGTCTTTACCTATCATTTGGTATAGTTTTTTTCCATACTGACCCTTTACTTGCCCACATGGGGGGATTTAAAATGAACCACTTTTTCTCAAAAAATTAATTTTTTCATATTTACAAAAATTGATTTTTTTTTTTTTGAGAATTTTATTTTTTATGCTTAACAGATTAATAAAAAAAATGGGTTACTACTTGAAAAACTAAAGTTGATATTGATTTGAGGGATGAATATAAATATAGAGGGTTAAGGGATGAATGTGGAATCTTTATTTTTCTTGCTAAGTAGCTCAACAAAGATTTATAACAAATAAAATAATTACATATATGATAACACCAATATTTTAAAGAAAATTCCGTGAGGCATTGTTAGTCAATCACTCTGTATATTTCGAAAAAATATAATTTAAATATTGGCTGAAAACAATCTATGGCAACTGTTAAATAACATTTATTTTTGAATTAATGAAAAAATTTGTTTTAACATCGTTATTTGTTGTTGGCCAAAATATCGGTAAAAAATTAGTATAAAAGATCTAGTAAACTAAAAATTCATGGGGACTTTTAGTCTAACCAGCGAACGAAGAACATACAAGCTCTTGTGGAAGCTAAATTAGTCTAGAGGTCTCAGTCGCGTCGAAATCAAAATTCAAAAATCTTGAAATCAACGCGATAATCGCAAGTCGAACATATTGACTATTTCCAACAGTCTTTTGTATGTTTATGTGGTATGTTCTTTGGTCTTGTACGTAATGTTTTATATTAACGCAATTTTAATCTAACGATTTGTAAGACCAATAAAGAAATTCTATATAACACAACTTTCTTGTGCAATAAACTATTTCCAAATGGCCTAAGTCTCTTCAGTCATCCATAGAATGATCTAGGGTAGATGCGAGCTTAATTCAGTTCTTTGCACAATAGATGATACTAGTGTCTTATACTCCAATTGCTCGCGTTGTGACAGAGATCAGACTGGCTGGTCGACAAGTAGAGAGACACTTTAGAGAACGCTTATAATTAGTTGAAACCTTGACTACGATATTATAATGTTAGTACTCTGTTTAACCAGGTTATGGCGCTCCAATTATTAATAAAACACAATGCAATCTAATTAAGTTTTTATTTGTGTTAAGGTAAATAATAAAAATAAATAATCCAAATACCAATACGTTTTATGTGTTGAAATGTTTGTATCACCAAAAGTGTTCGGCCTAAAATAAAATATATAATAATTCTTTTAAGTCTGAGCGATTAAAAAATGGAATGTAAAATAATACAGATCTGATATGAATTATAACTAAGAACGAACTATATGCTGACGCAGATTCCATGTATGTGAACATTTACTAGGAAGAGGAGAGAGCTTTTTCTTTGGGAAAAAATGGCCTTTTTATTGCCCAAAAAACAAGTTTAGCGATTTCTGGTGAGATTTTTAGGATATTTTTTGTTGTACTTGATTGGTAAATGTGATAAAATATTTTACGTGGGCGTTTTATGAAATACGTAAAAGGGTAGTTGAATTTTGTGTAAGGGTATTATTTTTTATTCATCTTATCGACGGGAGAACATTGATTTGGTGATATATTTTTTTTAAGTATATGTATTATTTATTACATTTATTAAAATGTGATACTACATTATATATCTACAATGACAGCTGCTAATACTATGATAAGTTGGCCTCCGTTTACAATTACTTCAATAAATACAAATACATCTTTTTAATAAAATGCCATTATCTCAACACATGAAAACTTAGATGTTGCCATATGAAGGTCTGCTAGCTTGCAAGCTACCTTAACCTGATAATCGCATGGTATAATAAATAGCGTATAAAACCTAATCAGAACAAATCGGTACACACAACTTTTACTTAAAGTCACTTCTCCGCCCGTACTGAGGTCACTCTAAATAAAACTACCATTTCCTCCTTCGATACAGTGAAATATTTAGGTTTAACCCTTGACAAACGATTAACATGGACCAACCATATTCGTAAAAACAGACCTCTTTTAAACTTATAACTCTGCTTTCTTCGCTCGTTCGTAATAATTTAATGACATACTAACCTGAAAATCAAAATCTTAATGTATAAATCAATCATAAAACCAATTTGGTCGAAATTGTAAGAATATTGCACTTAGAAAAATTACCCATGCATTCCGTTATACAACGAACTATAATTGAAATTATGACCTTCATAAAAAAATTAACAGAGAAAACTCTTCAATTTTATAAACGTTTTTATAATGGATAACAAAATCAGTCAAATAGTCTTACCAATAAATTGTATAATAACTCTATACTAGACAATCATAGACGACGTCTAAAGATACAATGGTGTCGTGACTTATTGATGTAATCAAAATGTTATATTATTAAATTTAAGTGTCACTGATAGGTGAATTATGTCTCAAATGTATCGTGTTTTTGTATTACATCAACACTAGGGTGGCCCTCAAAAATCGAATGCCTTTTCTTTTTACGTTACCCCTTAATTTTTTTTAACGGTCAAAAAAATGAACTGCAAAATTTGGGACCGTTTAGATTAACCCGTGCTCCCGGGCCTATTAAGTTGAGTCGAAGAGTCAAATTTAATGGAAATAACTGATCCATGTCTCATAACTTTTTTTTTGCTAACTTAGAATTATAAAATTAAAACTCAAGTAAAGGAAATTTTACAAGAAATTCAAAAATAATAACTCCAATATTGTTTTCTTAATAAATAGCCCACAAAAACACTACATACAGTAAAACTCATGTAAAAGTCTTAAAAATACGTTATAACTGATTTTGTTGATTTTTACTTATTTATTTTCATTCTTTGGAAAACGAATATTCGTTAAAAAAAAAGATTCTAAAAGTTCAATTTTTTATGCCAAGTACAATAATAATTATTGTATAATAATAAATCTAATATAATTATTCTATTAGATTTATTATTTTATCGACAGTTAATTACAAACCTAACAAGATTTATTGTATTATTACATTTTGTCGTATCAATATATTAATTTTGGTTTACTGAGTTACTTTAAGATAGTACCAATTATATTATTATTAAAGATGAGTATATTTGAGTTATTTTCGACAACTGACATAATTTGTGTGGTATAAATGCAGCAGATAATTTGTGAATATGTTTAATCATATTTTACCTATTTATTGTTATTTATTAAATGATACGTTTTAATCACAAACGTACAATACTTTTAGACGTCTTTTAAAGTACAACGGACTAATATTTATCTTATTGGTAATTATTCCCACAAAATAACTGGTAGTAAGTTACCATTAAATTTATCAGTGTCCATTCTGTTTATTCTGTGATATCACCATTCATTCCCTATAAAATATTAATAGTGTATGCATTTATATAATCTGTGGTAGAATTAACATAGATAATGCTGTTAACATACATTGGCCTGTGCGATATATTGACAATAATTATATCTCCCTCTATATCCTATTGACGTAATTTTCGTCTCTCTCTATATCCTATTTTCGTAAGCCCTTCTAAATATGAGCCATCTGGAAGAATTTTTCGTTTTTTCTGCTTTAAAATTCACGTTTTTTTTCTTTGGTCTCGAGACCGGCGCCCAATGACGGCGCTTATTGTTTCCGATCGCCACGCGAATTTTTTGCTATCCGTTATCGTGTTCCCGCTAAAACGTCGTTATCAGCGCGTCGACGTCACGGTTTTGTTTTTCGCGCCATCGTCGTCCGTTACTTCGTCGTTTATTTTCATGATAATTCGAGTTTCGTCCGTCGCCCTGTCCTTCCCATATATGATTCTGTAATTTATAAATGGCGTTTGTTGTGTCTTGACGACCAAGAACTGATTTATATCGCGGGTAACGCATATTTATTTATTATGAAACGTGTGTTTTGATTTTGTGATATTCCAATTTTTTAATTTATGATGTTTGCCAGAACTTAATGTTTGTGGTTCCGCTTAAATATTTTTTCGACGGTCGATGTACGACAGTAATGACTGTTGATTAATGTCATTTGTAAATTATGTAGTTCTATTGCGATTATTAGTCGAAACGTGTGATCGGTAATTTTCCAGCGATCCTAATAAACATATTTTTTAAATTGTTGATATTTCAATGACAATGGCGTTATTGTTTAATTCGATTTTGTAATTTTTAGATGGCGTTTGTTGTGTTCCGAGGACTGCGGTCGAATAGTGGCTCAACCCGTTCGATCAACTCTGATCGACAACGGATTTATTACACGGGTAATTTATTATTTTTATCTGTTAAATAAAGTAGTCTGTCAATATTTTATCTATTGGTGACTGCAATGTGGTGTAATGCGTATTGAATAAATTCAACAAATTCTTATTGTTATCATATTTATTTATTCACACTCATTAACATCTTTGTGGTATTCTCGAATATTTATTAAAATGTGTAATTGACTATTGTTGTACAGTAGTTGTAATAATTAAATATTTATTTTTAATGGCTAATAATTAATCTGTTGTGTACATTTAAATTTTTCAACTTTATTTATATTCATATTTTGTTTGCGTGTATATATTTGTTGTTTCCTTAATGATTATTAGTTATTGAGAGTTGTGATAATTGACAATTTGATGACAATTGTAATAATGATGATATTATTTTTAAATTGTTAATATAATCATGGTAATGGCAGTATTAATTTATTTGATTTTGTAATTTTTAAACTGTGCTTCTGTCGTGTCCAAACGACTGATTGAAAAGCTGCTTGACCCGTTGACCAAAAGTGCTGCTTGCTATAATGAATGAGGATTTATTACACGGGTAAATTTTTTTTTTTTATTAAATAAAATTAGGTCAGTATTTTATCTATTTGTGATTACAATGTTACAATGTATATTGAACATATTCATAAGGTTTTAATTTATATTCACATTCGTTAACATCTTTGTGGTGTTTTATTATTAAAATGTGTAATTGACTGTTGTTTTTTAATAGTATTGATGGCAATAATTAATGTGTTTTGAAAATTATTTTAATTTTGCAATCTTTATATTTTTAATTTTTTGTTTGAATGTATTTGTTGTTCCCTTTATGATTATTTTTGAATTATAATAATTGTTAATATTATTAGAGAAATGGGAAATTGTATTTTATTTATTGGTGCATTTTGTACTACATCAATCTATACAATTTCTCTCTCTCTCTCTCTCTCTCTCTATATATATATATATATTTAATTTTAGCTTCGATGCGAAGCTGAGAAGGTATTGGTTTTACTAAGATGTGTGTTTTTTTTTTTGTGTGTGTGTTACCACTTTTTCTCAGCTCTCACCGAACCGATTTCTTTCAATGATACGTCAAAAGATCACAAATCGTATCTAGTTGAAGACATTATCCTCAAAAATTGAAAAAAATTCCCTCATTCCCCGTAAATGGGGGAAACCTCCAAAAAAATTACAAATTTAAAAATCGCTAATTTTCGAAATTTTTTCAATTTTTTTTACTAAAAACTGCCGTAACTTTTTCAAAAATGAACATATCAATATAATTTTTTTTTATATAGATGCTTGATGTCTTTACCTATCATTTGGTATATTTTTTTTGTAAATTTGACACTTAACCTGCCCACAGGGGGGGATTTAAAATGACAACTTTTTCACAAAAAATTAACTTTTTCAACTTAACTTTTGAAAATGTTCCGGAAGGTCTGACACTTTTATATATATCTTAAATTAAAGCTAATGTAATATACTTTAATTTGAAAAAAAAAAATTTGACCTCTGGACTTGTCTTCATGGTGAAAACGGCTACCGAATGCTATTTTTGTGTGAAAATTTTCGATTTTATAATTTACATTTTTTACTTTAAAGTGCTATAACTTTTTAAAAAATGTATGGATCAATACAATTTTTTCATGAGAAGTAGTATTTATATACATCTTTCATTGGATATACTTTTTTTTTAAATCAGACTATTTCCCTATATATGGGGGGGCTTCAAATATAAAAAATGCATATAGAAAGTAGAACTTTTTCAACGTAACTTTTGAAAGTGTTCCGGAAGGTCTGACACTTTTATATATATCTTAAATTAAAGCTAATGTAATCTACTTTATTATGTTAAATAAAATTTCAGACTTTATTTTGTCTTCACAGTGAAAATGGCTACCAACTGTTATTATTGTGTGAAAATTCTCAATTTTATTTTTTACATTTTTAACTGTATAATGCTATAACTTCTTGAAAAGTGTATTGATCAATATAATTTTTTTATAGGAAATACTATTTTTTAATAATCCCTTTTTCATTCGACATACTTTATCTTAATCAGGATATTAATAAGGAACTAGCAGTTTATGAAGCTTTTGGAATAATCCACCAATTTTTTAAAATTAAACACTATCTAAAGATTTGCATCGAAGCGTTTNTTGAATAATCCACCAATTTTTTAAATTTAAACATTATCTAAAGATTTGCATCGAACCGTTTTTTTTTTTTATAGTGATTTTAATTACTGTCAGATATTATTATACTTCATTCAACTATGCCGCGACCCCCCTGTGCTGGGTTGGTTTTTGTTTGAATATACTACATTTATATTTGTTATTCCCTTTACGATTAATTCTTATTGAAAAGTGTTATTGACAATTTCAATGCAATTGCAATATTAATAGTATAATTTTTAAATTGTTGATATAATCATGGTAATGGCAGTATTAATTAATTTGATTTTGTAATTTTCAGTCTGTGCGGCTTTTGTTTTGTCCGGATGACTGGTCGAATAGCGTCTTGACCCATTGGCCAATAGTGCTGGCTATTATTCATAATAGTTGTATTACACGGGTAACTAATTTAGATTCATTTAATAAAATTAATTTTGTTGTTAGAAATAAATTTATCTGCTCTGTACACGTTAAACATATAGTCGATCGGTATTTAATTTATTGTTGAGTGCAAGGTGTAATATGTGATACATCAGATCACACATTATATATATATATATATATATATATATATATATTTCAATTTTTGTGTACATATATCGACTATTATACAGCAATCTCGGTTATTACCTTTTTCTTAACAGCAGTATTAATTAATTTGACTTTTTAGCTTTCAGACTGTGTGTTTGTTGTGTCCACATGACTGTGTTTATATAATGTCTCAACTTGTAGAGTCTACAGTGTTTTTTAAAAGTATTGGTCTACAGTGTAGACCAATACTTTTAAAAAACATCACTGGTAGAATGAAGGATACCATAATTATTACAAGATTCAGTTTTTAAAAAAAATTATGACTTCAGGGTTTTTTAAGACATACTACTTATTAAAAAAGTAGTATCTATACTTACAACCTTTATTGTGGGCGAATAGCTATAAAAAAAGTTGAATAAACATAAAAATATATTTTGGGAAAAATGACGTGGAATACTAAGTAATAATAATTATAATACATCATGATTTAATTTTTAATGAATTTAATACTTGAATTTTAATCCTTTTAATTAATAATACAAAAACATCATAATAATATTATTCTTTAAGAGAATAAAATAATTAATAAAATTAAATAACACAAAATAATATTATTACTTTTATCACAGATTTATTAACAAAATAAAATCAAATTAACTTTTTACAACATCATAGTATTCAAAATATTATAATAATAAAAAGTAAATAATTAAAAACAAAATATAATATTATACTGTTATGTTGATTCAAGAGACTTATAGAAATCATCGTATGTTGATGGAACAAGTCCCATTGAGCATAGTGATAACAAATCTGCAATCTTTGGTTTTCCAATATGTAATTTTCCATTGTATGCTTTTATTGGTTTAAAGCGAGGTTGATGTTTTCCCCTTTGTTTTTCTTTTCTTGATATATCGATTTCAACAAAGTCTGAAGCACTTAAATCATATTTTATGCATAGTTCAAATGGCTTTTCAAAAATCACAGCTATTTCTCTAATGGTATTCCACTTGATGTTGCTAACGTCACGAGCTGTTGTCCAATTACACAATTTGTCATCAATTAATGATTTGAAATCCAAAATATCTTCATTTGATACCTTAATCACTGTACGGTTTTCCAGTAATTTTCGCACAGCTTATTAATGTTACCCATCGAGCAGGGACATATATAGTTTTACCTTTTTGAGCATTTTCTATGCATGCATGCATGATATCACCCTCATTTTGGGTATGCCCCTTTTCTTAAAATCTATGTGTGATTTAAATTTTTAGGGTGAAGGCTGCATACTCCAACATTGCAAAAATGAAACGATTTCTGTTTTGACCACTGCAATTATCCGAATAGAAGCAAAATTCTTTTACTTCTTTAGTCATGTACTTCAAAAACTTCATTAAGCATGTACCTATCTCATTCGACCCTCGTTTTGCCTCTGACTTATTCCATATATAACAATAACCTAATTTTGTACCAATATCATATACCGTGAAATTATAAACTGCAATTTTTCGCTTATAATAAAAAGAACTTGCTTTACCATGGGGTGTAGTCAGAACTTTTTGCAAATCAAAAACGGCAATACAACTCAGGGTTATTAATTTATCGTTGTTTATCAATATTTTTTTGATCTCTAGCAATGTTCTTGTTTACTAAGAGTCTCATTGTCTTGAATGGTCCCCTAAACCCCAGTATTCACCAAATATTTCCTTATGTATTTCCTCGCTAACTTTTTTGGAGCATTTCTTTTTGCATTTACATGGTACACCCATTTGTTTTACTTTTATCTTTTTCCCCATTCTGTTTGTATGCTCTAAACCCAAGTTTAACATTTTTTTAGATTTGTTGTCTATCTATTCAGATGTATTTCGTTGACGTACACGGGTGTTTTTCTTTAGGAGTAATATTATTATCTTTCTTAAGCCATCAAGGTCCTAATAATATTATTATATTATTAAACCCATAATATTATTATTATAATATAATAATATTTGCTCATGACTTTTTATAATGATAATACATTTTCAATTCATTCAATAGTAATTTATATTTTAATTTAATAACAAATTAAAAATTATAATTACTTCTTGATTGGGAACTAACACAATATCATTATTATCTAGATTAACATTTGAATTAATTTCATTAATATTTTCTACTAAATCATTAGCTGTTGAAGTATCCTTAAATTAAAATTAAATAAGTATTAATAATTACTATACAGGGCCGGATTGGACAAATTTGGCCCACTGAGTTTTCTGTACTTTTCCGGTCCAGTTACAAACCGGCAACCCTTGACCCAAATTTTTTTTTAATCATATTACTGTAGGCAGGCTCGCTCTGACTTAGTTGACTGCCTTTGTTTAACAAACAAGTTAGCTGCACCCCTAAATTTCATATTTGAGCTTTATCAGAATCAGTGGCGGATTTAAGGATTCAAATAAAAATATTTTTCGTAAAACTAAATCTGTAGCCTAAAAATGTAAAACACTGAAATTTTTCTTATTTTTCCAAAACTTTGACCTTTATGCGCGCCCAGTTAATCATGTAGTATGAAGTTAGACATAAAGACATAAAGAAACAAACTTACGCCTGGCGCTCCTGAAGCTTCACATAAAAATTTTCCTTCATGTGTAAATAATGGCCACTCTAATGAACGTATAATGGCAATGACATGATTATCTATTAAAATGTGTATTAGCAATTGTACAGCAAATAAAATATTAAAAATTTTTTTTTCGCATTGTAGTTGTGACCATATTAATTAATGTGATTTGTAAATTTTAGATTGTGCACAGCCTCTGGTAAAGCTACAAAAATTTTCCATTCTGTTTTACCCGCGATGTGTTGATAGTGCTATGCTATTGGTTTTTTTTTTAGCCAGTGCTTGCCCTCCTTTGCTGTTCGCCGTTCCTCCATTATGGTACTGTAAGTTTTTCGTTAGTTGTTATCTTGGATTTTATTTTGATTTATATTGTTTACTTTTCAGCCTGTCAAACCTCGATTCTATAATAGATGTTATAATAGTAAATTATTTTTGATAATTCTAAGTTAAAATTACTATGGAAACAGTACACATAGACATTTTCTTAGTAAATTCGAGTTATTCAATACATTGTGATAAACTGAATGTTCTATATTTGTGTTTATTATATTAATAATTATTAATTAAACTTGTATTATTTATCTTTTTAACATTAATTGTATTTATATAATCAATGTGTTACGGGAAAATTGTTTAAACCATTTATGGTGATGCAATGTCTTTTGAAAATGAAATACAATTTTCGATAGTAATAAAATACAGTACGATGAACAATACTTCCTGTTTAGCTTTCAGACTGATCCCAGTTGTAAGTACATTTATTAAAATTTTATTGTAAAATATCTGAAATTTCAATAAATTACCAACAATCAGTGGTGTAGTCCTAAAAATGTTTATGGGTATACGCTAGGCTGGTCCTTATCTACTAAGGCTAAAAAAAAAAATTGAACAAAACATAGCGGCACCCCCTAATTTTGTTTATTTTTAGATAATAATGATTTTTGTTGAGTTTCGTAAGATTTACTTACCCCCTTCGGGTGCCGAATGAGGGTTGAAAATATACGCCTATATTATGAATAGATAATAACGTGGGGGGCTCCGCCCCCACACCCCCCATTGCACGTTATATTTTCTACATACAATATTTCACAATTATTTTGTTGAACTTTTAACTTTATACATTATCAACAGTGATATAGTCGTAATTTGATCAATAGATAAATTAAAAACCTAAATGAGGAAATGTGGGGAATTTCACCCCAACACTACTTTTCAAAAGNAATTAAAAACCTAAATGAGGAAATGTGGGGAATTTCACCCCAACACTACTTTTCAAAAGCCTTAACTATAACATAGTTTTGCGGGACGGAATACAAATATTGTGATGTTTTAACTGTGTTAAAAATATGTATTTTCTAATTATTATATAATGCAACTAAAACTCCAACTCTCCCAGATACGGCCTTGCTCCTTCCAACTTCCAAACTATTACTCAAATATTTTTACTGACACTTCTAAGTTCTTACATAAATTAAATTTCATAGTCATATAATCGATAAGTGTATTATTAGATACTGTTATATTTTTTGTAAATAAACAATAAACTTTATGCAGTAATAAAATAATCTTACAATCATTGTTTTCAAATCGTTAAAACATAAATGAAATAAACGTGAATGGGTACATGTTAGCACTATCTTAATTCATTATAGGTAATGTATTAAATACTAGATTGGTTGGTAAACGGTTTATTACGGAAAATTACAAATTACCATTTTAACAGCTATAGCAATAACTTTCAGTTTCAACTTAGTATGTGCTATATCGTTAATTTCTGGTCGATGTTTTAAATTTTGTCAAATGTCAATAAAATTGTCGTGAAATGATAAACATTATCCTATTTATTTTATTGATATTTATTTATACACTTTGACAGTGTTTTGTTTTACATTTATATTCTATTTTTAAAATGATAATAGTCTCGAGCCATATTTGTGTGTTTATAACTTCAGATATATGTTTATATGTGGTATGACTGTAGAGATTAAACAAACTGATAAGAATTATTCAAAATTT